TTTTATGGTTTCAGTTTAATATTGTTATCAATTATCAATTACGGTTAGGTAAATGTCAACATTCCATGCCATGCTTGTGTCTTAACAGATTAATGCTACGTCGACCACCGTGAAATGTAGTGTAGTGAATTAGTAAAATTCAAATATCTCGAAAATCGTTAATATTTTCAAGATCAAAGAAGTATAGCTTTTTTCTACAGAAATGATGGGGCTATCCAAATTAAACAAGTATGTTGTAAAATAATGAGCGATAAAAAATTTGTAGCTGATTTCATCTAATTCATATGGCGCATGTGGCGACATCTACGAGTTAACTCAAATCCTCTCACACATTATTGTTTACCCTTACAAAAACTATAAGTCAACTATGAGTCATTATGTAGAAAAGTAGCTGATCTATTAACAAAAATCTATTTTATTTTTTTCGCTTTAACATCCTGTATCTCAGTAAGGAGCAGACTAAGACCCATCATTGTTAATGAAAATATTATTATTTTGGCCTCCTGAACGTACATTTACAATTTGGCCCATTACTTATGAATCACCCTGTATATATTATATTTTTATTTTAGTATTAAATATGAACATAAATATACAAAAAATAAAATACAATTATGTTTTTATTTATTTAAACTGTTCTTTCTTCGAGCGAACTGTTCTTATTTGAATTTTCTGCGGGTTTCTGTTTCGGACTCTGACAATGAGTGAAATGGAGCAAATGGAGGTGATGTTCTTTCGCTTATATTCAAATCTTGGTAGATAGCTTTCTTCTTAGTGTTGAGACATCCTTGCCACATTCAAGACGTACGATTGTTCACAAAATTTACACTTGTATGTTTTTCCATTAGATTTTATAAAAGCATCGACTATAATGATCACTTTTTAACAAAGTCACGACACGAGACACTAGGTACGACTAACTGCGTGCGTTGTGAGTTGGCGATACACGTGTTATAACTTGTTCGCTTTCTCACCATTCCACTTGGTTGATATGCCAAGTGTTCTAAAATACGATATTTACCGTAAAAAAACTGTAGTTTACTCAAAATAATATCGTTATTTACCTAGTAAATTACGGTAATTTATTGTGTAAATTACGGCAATTAATTTTTGGTATTTTACGATAAATTAGTATGGTTATTTTTTGGTAATTTACAAGTTCACATCACTGATTGCAGGTAATAATACTGTATTAGTTGTAGTTTGTATGGGTTGAAAGTAATTTAAAGTTGAATCAACTTTTTAAAATGGACAGATAGAATTCACAAATACCCCATTGTGCTACGGTTCGCTAGAGCGTTTTATCTTTTAAAAATAAGGAAGATATGTGTTTTTTTAATTTTTCATTTTTCTACAAGTTCTCGTATAATTTGGCAAATTCTGGTTTATCATTGTATTTCTCAAAATTTTTACAATCAAACCCCGCCTTTTCTAAATCTTATCATAAATTAGAATGTTTGAGCTTCAATTTGAAATATAGAACGAGTTCCATCTTTTAAAAATAAGGAAGATATGATTTATTTTAATTTTTCTTAGAGCGAAATAATTTCTTATTTTGCATAAACATCATTGTTATGACATTTTATATCCAATTCTGCATGTCTTAATGTTATAGATTTAAGGCTTTAATTTCATAAATAATACAAATATCAATTTATAGAATATATTTTTATTTGATCTTAGAAAAACGATCCAACTTTTCACCAATTATTAACATCAACATTTTTTAGTCTTCAAATGAACTTCTAAATGAAATTCTTCTAAATTCGTCTTCAACTTCTAAATGAAATTGCATCCTTACTTCAACATCATTCGGATATTCCTCATTTTTCACGCAATTTGGCACATATTGGTCTCTAAAGAAATGAGTAAAAAACCTCCCCACCTCCGGATTCTTATCCAACCCATTTTTAACCCCGCTAAAAATCAAATTCTCCTGCGCAGCGTATCTTTTAGTCCCATCCTCCACCGAAACCTGATAAAACGGCTGTCTCGCCCCAAATTGCAACTGATCCACATTCATCTCCCGCTTCCACGCATCACTTTCAGCGCAAATATGATCCCACCCATAAATAACGCAAGTATAATTAAACAATTTGTGTCTCATAACCATCCCAATAGCGAATTTTACATCAGGGTGTCGATAACTTTGTATTCGATTTCGTCCATTACACTCATTTAAAAAGTGGGGTAAAGAAATTCGATTTTTTGAGGCGTATTCATTGATTGATAATAAATCTAAAATATCGTTGGCTAAATCTCGATTTAGGTAATTCCTAGTTTGTAAAATTTCCTTTAATGAGGTTGTATCAATCCCTAATTTCATGTAGTAATGCGTTAAAGAGAGGGTTACTCCTAAATCGTAAGGATGCAGGATGTGATTTAACTCCAAAATTGAACGCATTAATTGGACTCCATTATCTGGGGGTTGTAATCGCTCTCTTAAAGCGACTTGGAAGTTATTAAGGAACGCAAAATGGCTGGGTGGAAATGGGTCCAATGTTTTTTAAAACGCAATCCCCGTATATCTTTAAGAAATCCCGAAAGTACTTCGTTAGCTAGGGCTCAGGAAGCATATTTGAAGTCATTAACATGTATTTTGGAAAAACACCAATTTATAAACCATATACAATAGGTCGCAAAAAATATATACTTGCAAAGGCCGCAAACAAGTTGGAGCCAGGTCAAATATATTTCTCCTCCGCCCTCAGTCGCTGATATTCAGTCAATGTAACAGAGGAGTAGAAAACGTGGAAAAGGAGGAACGTTGAATTCTGCGCCAGAACTTGATGAGTTTAAAGAAATAGGTAGTCAAAAAAGAGTCAAACTACGAAAAACTTTTGCAAGAAAAGCGAAACGACAAGTTTTAGTAAATAATAAAAATGTTGTAAGTGACGACAGTGATGAAGAAAAATCGGACGATGCCTCTATAGCAATGATCTTTATTCACAATCAAAACCTAGGAAAAAATGGATTCAGTGTCAAGTCTGTAAATCTTGGTGTCACAATCATTGTGCGGGAATTAGCCCTAACTGTAAGTCGTTCATTTGTGAACTGTGTCAATAAATGCCCATAGTAGCAGTGAACTTACTATTTTCCTGTTTGTATTGTTGACTTTGATGGTTTTTATATTGTATTTATTTCAAAGAATTACTCATGTAGGTACAATTTATTTTACTTTAGACTTTAGTTTGGGGTTTGTTTTGAAGAATGTGATCTTTAAGTTCTTTGGTATAAAAGTTTTTTAATAAAATATTAGAAACAAAATGTCGTTTCATTATTTTTCATAAATATTCTAAGTGGTGTAATATAGGAACACTCCGGGGTCCATCAAAGGACTGTATGCTCTCATCACGGTCCTCTCAAAATGATTTTTAAAAAATACTGTCGAAAAGTAACTACTGTAGGGTAAAACGCCAGTAATTGACCGTTGGTCAGTGTTTGACCGTTTTTGTAAAAAATAAGGATCCAAGGAATATCTAAAAAAAATAGAAAAAAAAAACAGTCTCTTCTCCACCTCCTACTACGCAAAAAGTCTACGACCATACCGTTCTTGAGTTCTTGTTGTTTAATTTGCACTAACAGCCGGCCTATTCACATCGTGCTAAAAAGGGTAATTTTTATGTTTAGAAATTCGCCGAAACAAGGTAGTACTATACAGCCGTTTTTGCATGTATGGTGTTTTTTTTTTTTGTTAGCCAGTGATCTAATAATGTTTTTTTTTGGTTATTTTAAAAAATTACCGCTTTAATTAATTATTTGTGAAAATAAAGGCGGTCAAAGACTAGTAGTTCTAAATTTAATTAAAAATTAGTGTTTGACCAAACGGTCAAATACTAGACGAATTGGTTGTTGTATAATCTCACAAGTATTTATATTTGATTAATAAAACGGAAAAATGTGTAATACCTGTTTTTAAAACTTATATCTTCCTGTTTAAATTGTTTAGTATTTGACCAAAACTTTTATACTTTAAAAGTAAGATACAATCAGTTTAAATATGCGGAAGAATTACTAATTCTTCTTTTGATCATTTATAGGACATAAACAAGTCAAATATTTAAAAATTCTGATGAAGAAAAACTACTGGTTGAATGGTTGTTTGTTGTTTCATTCAGCATTCCTGTTACAAAAACCCAGTTGGAAAACACAAAATTTGGATGAAAAGTTAAGTCAAGAACATTTTACTCCATTTAAAGAGTCAAAAAATATAAACATTTTTTTGTGAACAAAATAGTATAGAAAAATAATGAAAATGAATATTATATTAAGAATCGGTCAAACATTTACGGTTTTAAGGTCAAAGACTAGATATTATTGGTCAAATAATGTAATCAAAGTGGTCAAACACTAAATGCGAAATACAGTTTTCCTTTTTAATTTTTANCCCTTAGAAGAACAGACGTACTTTTTCGACGTGGCCATTTGAATTGTACAGGAGACATATTAAAATAATGCTATCTCTTTCTAACACACATTACTCTCTAGCGGTTTGTGAACTACGTATGGCATTGTAAGAGCGGAAAATGATGATTTACTGCCAGCTCTCGTGGCGTCTACTATAATTCGCAATATATGAATGCAGTAACCATAGTTACGAAACTACTACGCACTTGCACTGTCCCACATAAAATGCAACACAGCTTAATAGTACAGGCATTTGGGTAGTTTTGCAAAGGAAAAGTTTTATTTGGAAAAAAGTAACATCTTTATCATAACTCTGAGTTTTCAGCCGTTTTATGAGACGCACCGTTAAACCCGAATGTTTCCAGCTGTAGGCCTAGTGTTAGTTTTAAACTAGCATTGTTACTAGAACTAACACTGGACCTAGGACCAGAAACATTTGGGTTTAGCTTCCCGTCTCTAAAGACGTCTAAACCCAAATGATTCTAGTTTTAGGTATAGTTTTAGTTCTAGTTTTGCACTGTCACTAGAACTAACATTAGACCTAGAACTAGAAATATTCAGACATGTTGCATTTTATGTTTGACAAAGTAAGGTTTCTATGGAAATATATTTTTGTATATTGCATCTTAAGTGAAATTTATTGAATGCTTAAAATAAAAACCTTTAGTGATTATTTGTTGGATACTCAGGCAGTTAACAAAGAGTTAAATAACGTGACTTATAAAAATAAATATATATTTTTATTATTCACTTTTTATATGTTATACATGTTTTGGTTCGTTTTTTTTTGCAAAAAAGGGTTCAAAACAAATTTATGTATGTGATTTTCGTTTCCTTTAATTTATTACTAAACCATTTTAATTTTTCCTCTTTTTAAAACAAATTTATATTTAACAAAATCTCCTTTTTTCCTTAGCTTTTCTCTTTCGTTTATTATTTTCTGTGTCTTTGTCTTTAATGCTTTTAAAATTTTTCCTTTTTTTTTTCTTCTACATCTGTCTTCGTCTTGAATCACCGAAAAGCTAAAGGTTGGTTGCTTTAAACGTAGTTTATGTTATTGATTTTTTATAAATAAATCTTACATCACTTTTTAATGAATAGAAAATCGAAGAAACTTTCCAATACCAACTGGAGGAACAAGAACGAGTTTACGGGCCGATTTCTCCGTTGTGTTTACCTTCCGATTTAACGGATTTTCACCCCGAGGGGCTTGGGTCGACACGCAGCAGCCTCTCATCGGTTTCGGAAGGTTAATTAATTAAAAAAAAATTAAATACTCTCGTTAAAACGTGTATATAAAAAATATTGATTTATCGAGTTTAACGTAGCCATTTAAGAGATAATGATTTATATTTAGTTTATTAAAGTTTCTTTTTGATTCTCTGACTGAGCGTTTAAAATTATTTGTATAAAGGAATTAAAAAAAAGTATTTTTATCCAACACTTTATAAGTAGAATTTAACATTCAGATTCGATTGTAAAAAAAAAAAAGATAAAATTAAGAATTGGTTTAAAAAGTGCCTATTTTTGGCCATACTTAGCCAATCGTCCGAAAAGAATGAAATTGAATTAGATTTTTTTGTCGTGTAATGTACATAATATAAATACTGGTATAATATAATAATATATGATTTAGATTTATATAGCGGAAAGCATTTAGTCAATTATACCCCAACAACAAGGACTCGGAGTGAGTGATGCGTTTATACATATATTTTTTCTACTTATAGTACCATATATATATATATTGTCTATACCGTATATATATTGTGCATTACTACTTACATCAATAAATTCATATATACCATTTATTTTTTTCTTTAACCTTTTAATAAAAACAAATTTTTTAAATACTTTTATTATTTATTACGTAACTTGTGTTTCTAAACCCGAATCTTTCTAGACCTAGGTTTAGTGGTAGTTCTAGTTTTACACTAGCACTAGAACTAACGCTATAGAACTAGAATCATTTGGTTTTAGCTGCATATCTCTAAAGAGGGCTAAACCAGAATGATTTTAGTTCTAGGTAAAGTGTTAGTTCTAGTTTTACACCAGCACTGTTGCTATATACCAGGTGTTTAAGAATTGTGTTCGGATATTTTGCCCACTTATAGTTCTCATCAAGATAATAAACGGTTCCAGTGTAAAGCGTCTTGGTCATCAAATGTTTATTTAATTGGGAAAAATACAAACAGAACATAAAATGCTTAAAGTAAATGCTCTACACGATCTCCCTCCATTTGAAGACATACTTCACATCTTCGTACAAAAGGATCGCGCACTCTTTCAAAAACTCCTGAAAATTGGCGAATAGTCTCTCATTTGCTTTGTATTCTTTGCTGGAGATCCTCCAAGTTATTAACAGGTGCTGAATACACTAATGATTTTAAGTAACCCCATGCAAAAAGTCTGGTGGATTGAAATCAGGTGATCTAGGTGGCCAAACTATTAAACCTCCTCTTCCTGTCCATCTTCCATAAAATTCAGTATTAAGATAATTATGAACAATTATCGCAAAATGTGCAGGCTCGCCATTATGCATGAACTATATTTAGGTTTTATAAATGTTTCACAGAAAGTCCAAATAAATTTCACCAGTTAAGTGATTAGGAAGAATCGTTGGTCCTATCAATTGGTCATCAAGTATACCAAGCCAAACATTTACAGAAATCTTATACTGCCTTTTTGATTGCACAACAGCGTGAGGATTTTCATCCGCCCAAACATGATTGTTATGTAAATTCAAAATTCCGTCTTTTGTAAAAGCAGCTTCGTCAGTGAATAAAACACTAGCTTGAAATATGGGATTTTGTGCAAGCTTCTGCAACGTCACTTCACAAAATGCTTTTCTCGAAACGTAGTCAGGAGCGACAAGTTCTTCACTCGTTGAACATGGTAAGGATAATAATAATAATAATTTATTCATGTAATATCACTAATCACATAGAAATCGTCATACAAAAAAAGAAAGATTATTTATTATAAAGATTATTTAAAAGACTAATCAAGAAGGTATTCAGACCACGAATAGTAACACTTGGCAACTAAATAGTCCTTCACCCATTTTTTAAAACTCAAAATTTTCTTACTTCTGACGTCTTCGGGTAACTTGTATCAAAAACAGCAGAGGGCCGAGTATTGACCCTTGAGGTACTCCATATTTTATTTCCTTCATTTCAGACGATTGATTTGCCCAGAAGACATATTGTTGTCTTCCATGCAGATAGGATCTAATCAGATTTAATTGTTGACCTCTAATTCCGTAGAAACTTAGTTTACCCAACAGTACTTCATGACACACCGTGTCAAACGCTTTGCTTAGGTCCAATAGATTGATTTGCACCAGCTGCTGCTCATCCAAACCATTCAATACAAATTCCATTACCTTCATAATCCCAGAAATTGTGGATCTATTTTCACGATAACCATGTTGGTTATTATTTAAAAAATCATTGCGGTTTAAATATCTTACTAATCTGTTTAAAATTAACTTTTCAAAGACCTTTGAGAGAACTGGCAGAATCGAAATCGGCCTATAATTTTCACAGTCGTTAACATCACCTTTCTTGTGGACTGGTAGAACCTTCGCTATTTTCATTTCTTCGGGAAAAACACCTTCAGACGCACATTGATTGAGGAGAAACGTTAGTGGTTCCACACACTGTTGAATGATTTTCTTTAGAATATTGGTGTTCAAGCCATATTTATCAGCTGTATTATTATTCTTCATTTTGTTCACAACTTCAATTAATTCGAAGACAGTTATAGGTTCAAAGTAAAAGGATTTTAAATTATCAATTTTAGTATCCCTGAGGTAAACCTCATAAGAACTAGTGCTAATTACATCTCTCAAAATGTTGGTTGCGATTGTATTGAAATAATTTCCCAGGTCTGCGGCGTCAATGTTGGTGGCAGTTGTGGTTTTACGTTTAGATTGACACACATTATTGATCACATCCCACATGGCCTTGATTTTATTGTTTGCATTCAGAATATAATTACCGGAAGCTTTTTTCTTGTTTTCAGTGATTTTGTTCATATATTCTGTCTTATATTTTTTGTACAGGCGAAAGCCTTCAGCATCTTTAGTCTTTTGAGCTATAGTGAGTAAAGCATCCAAAGTATCTTTTAGGTTATTTAATTCATGTGAGTGGTTAAACCGTACTTTTTTTACTATTTTTTTTTCTTTTGTAGGAAAGGAAAGGATACAATTGTTGCTGACGTAAAATTCTCCAAACTAGAGAGCCATTAATGTTTACAGCAGCAGATCTTGCACTCCTACCTGAATTTTCTTCAACCCTTCTCAAAACATTTCCTTCTACTGCAGGAGTACTCTCAGATCGCGTTCGCCAGCATCGTAGTGAGTTGTTTTAAAAGAACCCACTACCGACAAACGTTGATGCAATTTTGCGAACAATTTAACATTACATTACATTACATAGAATACATATCGGGTAGACGGACCAACCAACCTTGCACCGTGACCCTAAGGATCTATTTTACCCCGATAGATATCGTTATCAAATTTCACCGTGCAGTCCAATGCTCTTAACGAACATTAATACCTTGCTCGGCGAAAGGTCATTCAGATCTTTTGAGGAGATAAACTGCGACCCAAAAATCGAGAATCTGATACGGTTAATGGCAGGGCAGTGGCATAAAACATGCTCAACCGTCTCTGCTTCCTCCGCACATAGTCGGCATTCAACATCGTCGGCTAAACCCAACAAGTTGAGGTGTGCTTTTAATCGGCAGTGCCCATTAGAACTTTTATGCTACTACGGGCAAGTCCTAAAATATTCCCGGGTCTCATTCCAGGAGAACTGGTCCACAGTAGGCGAAGTCTCTCTTCAGCCCACAGTCCAATTCTATATTTGGCCATCGCAAATGATACACCAACACACAAACGCTTCAGCGCTGCCATCTCGTGCTAGCTTATCTGCCGCTTCATTGCCAGCAACCCCAGAGTGACCCGGGACCCAGATCAGAGAGACTCTGTTATCACAACTTAGTGTGTTTAATGTTCTCTTACAGTCATTAACCACAGCGCCTGGAGAGCGGCTTGACTGTCTGAGAAAATTCGTACTGTCATGTTCTTCACCCCTCTTTCAAGAAGGATTTTAGTACCCATGTCAATAGCAAATACTTCCGCCTGGAATACAGTACAGTACGTACCCAGGCTGTAGGCTTGCTTAATTCGAGGTGTCTGGCAGTATACTCCTGCTCCTACCCCTTCAGGCGTTTTTGATCCATCTGTGTACAAGCAAATGTCTGCCCGAACCAGAGAATTTTCATTTTCGATCCAGGACTGCCGCTCAGGCAGTACAATCTGGTATCGAGCATTAATCACTGATAGTGATACCGCCAAATCTGACGGCATTGATAGCACAGTATCAGTGCTTATAATGTCTTCCGCAGCCCATTGGTAGGACATGTCGGAACAGTTTTGAGCATATTGCTTAAATCTGTAAATGGTTGTTCTAGCCACTTTCTCTATATGCAAATGCAGAGGAGATAGGCCAAGCAGAACCTCCATTGCTAGAGTTGGCGTTGTGCCTATCGCACCAGAGATTGCCAATCCAGCTACTCGTTGAATTCGTGAAAGTTTACTGATAACTGAAGTCTGTCGGACTTTCCTATACCAGGCTGCTGCTCCGTATGTGATCATAGGTCTAACCACAGTCGCATAGAGCCAGTACAATTTTTCAGGGGTAAGACCCCAATTTTTTCCACAAAGACTGCGACAAGTCCACAAGGATAGTCTAGCTTTGTGCAAAACTCCCTGCAAATGTCCATTCCATGACAGGGTTTTGTCTAGGATTACTCCTAGATATTTGACTTCCTTTGAGAAAGGAATTTCTTCACCTTGGATAGTTGGGCGGATTAGTTCATCCAACTTTCGCTTGCTGGTGAAGGGAACAATTTAACACTCTGTAAGTTAAAACACGACTAAACGACTAGATATGAACTTTATTAAAAACCGACGTCTGAAGACGCACGGCTAAACCCGAAACGTTATAGCCCTAGTTCAAGTGTTAGTTCTAGTTTCACACCAGCACTATGTGGAACTAACACTATACCTAGAATTAGAATCATTTGGGTTTAGCTACCCGTCTCTAAAAACGGCTAAACCCGAATAATTTTAGTTCTAGGTATAATGTTAGTTTCACATAGTAGCAGTGGAAGTGTAGAATCATTTGGGTTTAGCTGCATATCTCTAAAGAGGGTTAAACCAGAATGATTCTAGTTCATGGTCTAGCTTTGCATAACAATTAAGACTAGCATAACTATCAATAAATTCATATAACCTTTAAATAAAAACAAATTTTTAAAATATTTGTATTATTTATTACGTAACTTGTGTTGTAGGAATTAAATTAATCAATTGATTACTATTTTCTGCTAATTCAGTAATAGAAACTCTCCCTCTTTGTCGTATAAATTTGGCAACAGCATCCATTTCTTCCTGCGATACATAAATAAACTTCCCTCGGTCGTCAATTACACCAGTTAAAATATCATCGGCTTGTAAATCTTTTAATCGATCGATAGCGGCTTGAGTTTTCAACCTAAATTTAGCAGCCAAATCTTCAATAACAACCACTTTTTGCGATTTAATATACCCCACAAATTCTTGTAATAAATTCTGTTCGTCTTCTTCATGTTCGCATCCCTCTTCATCAACCGTAAACGCCTCCTTCATTTTTAAATATTCCTCGTATTCTTTACGTTCTTTTTCCTCCCGAGCCAATTTTTCTTCTTCCTCTCGTTTTAATTCTTCAGCTTTTTCCTTTTCATCTTGCTTCTTTTTCTCTTCTAACGCTTGTTGATCCTTTTTCTTTTTTTCTTGTCGCATTTGTTCATCGGCTTCCCTTTGGGCTTTCTTTTCAGCTTTCGCTTGTAATTTAGCCATCTTTTTCGCCCCAATTTTTCCTTCGGGAAGATCAATTTTTTCTTCATCGTCCACTTCTAATTCGTTATCGGAGACTTCATCTTCTTGTTGTTGAGTATTCGCACGTAATCGAGCCCCTCTATTTCGAGCCATTTGAGCTCGGCGAGGTGCCCCATCTCGAAGCCTGTTCGGTACAGGTCTAGGTCTATTTTCTTGGTTATCTAAAAATTAATTAATTGTTTAAAACATATGGTTTCGATTAAATCGCTTACTCTTTGTGGGGGTTGAACTTCTTAAATAAAAGATGATTGATAATATTAGGATTAAAACGCTTAATAATATTCCGTAAATAAGCATTTTTTTTGTTAAATAAATTAATTATTTAATAATCTTTACCTAAACGACGTTTTAGATTTTTTGACAGATGTCATTTTTTGGTGTTGAGGTTAAATTATTTTAAAAAGAATTTAATTGATATAATTAGTTAATTAATTAATTTAGTTTTTATAATTTATTAGATTATTCTTTAAGAATTTAATAAATAAAAATAAAATTACGATATAATATGATAATTGACAGTTCACGCTTCGATGTTAACTTCACGCTAGTTATCCCCTTATATGTCAATTATGGACATGTCTTCGGTAACCAATAATACAAATAACAAAATAAACAGCCTCTTTCAACGATTGCAATTAGAAAAACTTAACGTGAACCATGTGGACGCGGCAGGGAGGAGCCCTCAACATCAAAACCCGCCCGCCCGACCTAGCAACCGTAAATATTTATTTATCGTACATTTTTGACGAACCAATTTTAACATGATCTTTCCAAGTGGGCAATTTCAACATACCGAGGACACCACCCCAAATGAAACGCCCCAACGATCTTAATATTCGCCAGAAACAACCCGACACCTCCGACATTGACCGGAGGTTTAAGGAAATCATGCAAAGCAGCGGTAAGTTAAAAATTAACAACGTCGTTTATGATACGGATATTAAGGAGATGGAGTATCTCGAGGATTTGGGAAGTGGAACCTGTGGGCATGTTGTTAAAATGAGGCATAAACCAAGCGGTGAAATCATCGCTGTTAAGGTAAATAATTAAAATCGTTTCTTAATACTGATTAATTTATTTATTTGATTAACAGCAAATGCGTAGGTCTGTAAATACAGAAGAAAATAAAAGGATTGTGATGGACATAGAAGTTGTTATAAAATCTTACGATTGCAATTATATCGTGCAATGTTTAGGTTGTTTTATAACCGATAGCGAAGTTTGGATTTGCATGGAATTGATGTCGACGTGTTTCGATAAATTATTAAAAAGATTGCAAACGCCTATTCCTGAAACCGTTTTGGGAAAAGTTGTTGTTGCGGTGTGTTATAATTATAATTAATAACTTTAACCACAATTATTTTTTTGATTGTTATTTTTTAGACTGTAAATGCCTTAGCGTATTTAAAAGATAAACACGGGGTTATCCATCGAGACGTAAAACCCTCAAATATTTTAGTTGACGAACGAGAAAATGTTAAATTATGTGATTTTGGAATTAGCGGTCGATTAGTTGATTCTAGGGCAAAAACACGTAGTGCTGGATGTGCAGCATATATGGCGGTTAGTTTAAATGAAAAAAATAAATTATTTTTTAAGGGGGTGACTTCCCTTTAAGTAAATGGTCATTTTTATCATTTTTTTTTTGTTTAGAAAATTTATTTAACAACTGTACATCATAATATTCATCATTTTAAGGTAATAAAACTTGTCGAAACAAGTTGCTCAGTAACGCGTTCTGTAAATATGTCATACTAGTGTTAGTTCTAGTTTTACATCAGCACAGTTCTATCAGCACGTCTCTAAAGACGGCTAAACCCAAATGATTCTGATTCTAGGTATATAGTGTTAGTTCTAATTTTGTACCTTCCAGTTATAGGTATCATGTTAGTTCTGCATAGTAATAATGCAGATATAAAACTAGAACTAACACTATACCTGGAACTAGAATCATTCAGGTTTAGCAGTCTTTAGAGATGGGTAGTTAAACCCAAATGTTTCAAATTCTAGGTTTAATGTTAGTCCTACTCACAGTGCAAGTGTAAAACTGGAACTAACGCTATACCTGGAACTAGAATCATTCCGGTTTAGCTGTCTTTAGTGACGTGCGGGTAAACCCAAATGATTTGAAATCATACGTATACGAGAGCGCGCATACACAATTTACCTTTCAACTGACAAGGGAAGTATCAGAACTGTCCCTCACCGATTTTGTTGAAATTTGGTACAGCGATAGTATGGCCAAAAATAAGGTTTACGTATTTGTTTATACATGCTAATAAAGCCCCTGGGGCGAGTTATAAGGGTTGGAAATCGGGGCGAAATATATATATTCGCTTATAGGCTGAAAACGAAAATAGCTATCGAAATGTGGTAAATGTAAACTTATATTCATTTTCAATGAACTTTCCATTGATATATCACACATATATCTGAGGGCTTCAGGGGGTAAACTACCCCTAGTTTTTTGGAATATTTTAAAAACTACCCTGTCGATTTTGGCGATATTATGTATCCTTATAGTAAGTTTAAAAATATTAATGACGTGTTTTTTCTTATTTGCCTCTGACCATCCCCTGCAAAGTTACGGGGTATGATAGATAACCCCTTTCCTTAAGAATAATGTGATAAATAGTTACACTTTTGAACAATATTTTGAAGAAAACCATCAATTAGATGTAAATTAAGATTTACGCAGTAAAATAAACCCTATACGACATTAAGGGGTGGCGGGGGTTAACTACCCTAACCACCCCAATTAAATTTTTTTTACGAAAATTGTTTGTCGATTTTGGAGCAATTTACCACGCTGATTTTTTTATACGTTAGTACCATTGTAAGAGCTTACAAGGGCTAGAAGTTTGGGGTAGAAAATATATTTTCGCTAATAACTTTCATACTCCTACAGAAAAAGCTTTTTTATCGTTACTCTATTTAAATAACACAAAAGTTAGTGTAGTTATATAAATATTTATTAATAATGAATTAAAAAGCAACTGAAAAAAATGGTTAAATATCATAAATTGTATTCTACATTGTTAGAATCCTCTGGTACGTTTGGACCGAGGGTAATAAATACAATGATCAAAGCAGATAACATATTCGTTTTGGCATCAAAGTTTGGTAAACTGACTTCTACTCTTATGAAAAATTGGCTACAAAATGTCTATTTCCCAAACACCGGACCCTGGATTCTTGGAGTGGCCACTGTCCTAAAATTATTAGTAAAGTGACTCCATCGGATGTTAAGTTTAAATATTTGTCTATACCTGCAGGGGCAACAGGTCAAATTCAACCCCTGGATGTATTTGGTTTTAGAATATGGAATAATTTCATTAGAAGATTTTCTGATCAAGTCATTCTCTACCAGTACGATGTCAATTTGCATCAGCGAGATAATATTTTAAAATTGCAATTCCTAACTCATAACCAGTTGTCTTCCCCATGATTTATTAATGTTTTTAAATCCGCGTTGCTTGCGTCTGGATATATAGAGGAGAGACCAGAACAGTTTGAAAATTTCGTGGAGATTTGCTTTTCCAATGAAAAACCTACGTGCGATATCTGTGGAGATATAGCTGTTATAACTTGTGCATGGTGTAAACAATCGTTGTGTTTAAAACATTTTTTCCATGATTTTCATTATTGCCAACAATATATTGAATAAAAAAAGTAAAAAGAAAGAATTTAAATTAATAATGTAGAATATAATTTATAATAGTCAACCATTTCTTTGCCAGTTACTTTTAAACTCATTATTAATAAATATTTATATAACTACACTAACTTTTGTGTTATTTAAATAGAGTAACGATAAAAAACGTTTTCTGTAGGATTATGAAAATTATTAGCGAAAATATATTTTCTACCCCAAACTTCTAACCCTTGTAAGTTCTTTCAAAAGTACTACCTAACGTATAAAAAAATCATCGTCGTAAATTGCACCAAAATCGATTTTTTCGCNGATCTCTTTAATTTGTAATTCCATTAAATCGCTCTTAAAAAATTAGGGAGCCTTATTTTTGAAAAACTGATAACGGAATCCGAAAATCCGCGTTATTTGACATATTTTGGTAAAAACCGTGTTGAAATTCGCCAGGTCGTTTTCGAAATAACAGCATCCTACTAAACCGCGATTTTCCGCGAAACTATATGGAACATCGAAAAAATAAAATATGCCCCATATTAAGAACACATCGGTTTACCACCAGTGCAAATTTGAAATTTTTTCGTCAAATAGTTTTGGAGAGAAAAAATGGCAAAGTAGACAAAGTTGCTGGAACTCTCAAAAATCGGGTACTTTTTTCACTTAACACGCGATAAAAGTAAAACCGCGGACCCGAAAATTTCCAAATTAACATGTGATACGCAGAAATGTTCACTGATTACAATAAACTTTACAGCAATTTTTTCCATCGAGCGGACTTTTTGCACGGATAGTAGTGTTAGTTCTTGTTTTACATCAGCACTGTTACTACATAGAACTAACATTGTAGCCACACGTCTCTAAAAACGGCTAAACCCAAATGATTCTGGTTCTAGGTATATAGTGTTAGTTCTGCATAGTAATAATGCAGATATAAAACTAGAACTAACACTATACCTGGAACTAGAATCATTCAGATTTAGCAGTCTTTAGAGATGGGTGGTTAAACCCAAATGTTTCAAGTTCTAGGTTTAATGTTAGTTCTAGTCACAGTGCAAGTGTAAAACTGGAACTAACGCTATACCTGGAACTAGGATCATTCAGGTTTAGCTGTCTTTAATGACGTGCGGGTAAACCCAAATGATTTAAAATCATACGTGTACGAGAGCGCGCATACACAATTTACCTTTCAACTGAGAGACATTGTCGATTTTTATACCGTGAAATCGTTTTACATCGTTGTTGCGCTTTATACTTGAAAAATTATTAGAAAAGTGAGTGAAAGTGAACCCAATTATCGTTCAAGCCGTCCACGTCGTCGGCAATACGGTGACAATCAATATACTAACGTACAAAACCCTGAAAAGGAGGAGGTACCGAATATAGTTCCATAACAAGTGCCTCAGCAAAAAAAAAGGAGCGTCGTGAATTATAGCTTTTGCTACCGGATTATAGAATTTATGACCGTGTTTTCTGCTGTTTCTAACATAGCTGTTTCTAGCAGATATAAGCAAAAATTATCATTCATGCAAACCGGAGAGAAAATATCTGTAAAATGCATGTGCGACACTATGCTAATAGATCTAACTGGGATCGAAAATAGAAGAGTGAAGACAAGAGAAATGTGGAGAAAATTGAGAGATAGGGACAGGGACATAAAGAGGCAAGAAAGAAGGTCACAGATACTGGAAGGGAGATATAATAAAAAGAATGTTGAGATAGTGACAGAATAACTGCCAAAGTATCTGTTGATGTAGGGGGATAATGAAGGGAAGAGATTGGTGGCTAGATTCCGCTGTGGCAATGAGGAGAGAGGGAACAGGTACTGGGTGGACGATGTGGAGAGGTGGTGTAGGCTGTGCGGAGAGGATTGGGAGACGCTGGAACACATGCTGAGAGGGTCTAGTGAGCTGAGGGAGGAGGCGATGCACAGGAAGCAGATTTTGGGAGAGATGGATGAGGGAAGTGATTNCTCGCCCCAGTGGCTTTATTAGCACGTATAAAAAAATACGTAAACCTTATTTTTGGCCATACTATCGCTGTACCAAATTTCAACAAAATCGGTGGGGGACAGTTCTGATACTTCCCTTGTGAGAGGCATTGTGGATTTTTATACTGTAAAATCGTTTTACATCGTTATTGCGCTTTATATTTGAAAAATGATTAGAAAAGTGAGTGAAAGTGAACCCAATTATCGTTCAAGCCGTCCACGTCGTCAGCAATATGGTGACAATCAATATACTAACATACAAAACCCTGAAAAGGAGAAGGTAGTTCAGCAAAAAAAAGCGTGTCGTGAATTATAGCTTTTGCTACCGGATTATAGAATTTGTGACCATGTTTTCTGCTGTTTTTGACATATACAGGGTGTATCTGAATGACTGCAACAAACTTCAAGGGGTGATTCTTTAATGAATTTTAAGGGTACTTTGATATATGAACCATGGGCGACTTCGGCTCCCCTAAGGAGCTACACCCCTCCAAAAATGGCGGAAAATTTTGGTTTAATTTTTTTTTCTCAAAAACCATAAACGCTAGGAAAATGAAATTTGGGGAATATGTTTAACTCATAATAGGGCACGTTTTGACCCTATTTGTACTTTCAACCTACCCTTCTAAACTACTAAACGTAACCACCCCCGTTCAATTTATGCCTAGATTTTTTTTATGAAGATGATAAATACATTGGAAAAATTTCAGTTAGATAGATAAAACTATTCTAAAACTTTTTTGTCTCTCTGATGTTCTTCTAAAAATTAATAATTTCTGAGAAAAAAAATAATTAAGCAAACACTAACTGTTAAGCTGTAGGGTTGTTAATCGAAAGTTGGAATGAATTTTTAATGAAAAAATCTTAGTAGGCTTTGCAATCTTTGTCAGAAATATTTTTGACGTTTAAATGTCAGTGTTTTTCTTACTATTATTATTGTTTTTCAAATTAATTTTTAAATAAAGTTCTATCGCATTTACGCTCGTTCACTCGACGTTTCAAAATTTTAAATAAAACAATAATAATAGTAAGAAAACCACTGACATTTAAACGTCAAAAATATTTCTGACAAAGATTGCAAAGCCTACTAAGATTTTTTCATTAAAAATTCATTCCAACTTTCGATTAACAACCCTACAGCTTAACAGTTAGTGTTTGCTTAATTATTTTTTTTCTCAGAAATTATTAATTTTTAGAAGAACATGAGAGAGACAAAAAAGTTTTAGAATAGTTTTATCTATCTAACTGAAATTTTTCCAATGTGTTTATCATCTTCATAAAAAAAATCTAGGCATAAATTGAACGGGGGTGGTTACGTTTAGTAGTTTAGAAGGGTAGATTGAAAGTACAAATAGGGTAAAAGCGTGCCCTATTATGAGTTAAACATATTCCCCAAATTTAATTTTTCTAGCGTTTATGGTTTTTGAGAAAAAGAAATTAAACCAAAATTTTCCGCCATTTTTGGAGGGGTGTAGCTCCTTAGGGGAGCCGAAGTCGCCCATGGTTCATATATGAAAGTACCCTTAAAATTCACTAAAGAATCACCCCTTGAAGTTTGTTGCAGTCATTCAGATACAAGCAAAAATTATCATTCAGGCAATCAGGAGAGAGAAGAGTTGGATTTAAAATATCTGTAAAATGCATGTGCGACACTATGCTCATAGATCTAACTGGGATCGAAAATAGAAGACTGAAGAGAAGAGAAATGTGGAGAGAATTGAGAGATAGGGACATCGACATAAAGAGGCAGGAAAGAAGGTCACAGATACTGGAAGGGAGATATAATAAAAAGTATGGTGAGATAGTGACAGAGCAACTGCCAAAGTATCTGTTGATGTAGGGGGATAATGAAGGGAAGAGATTGGTGGCTAGATACCGCTGTGGCAATGAGGAGAGAGGGAACAGGTACTGGGTGGACGATGTGGAGAGGTGGTGTAGGCTGTATGGAGAGGATTGGGAGACGCTGGAACACATGCTGAGAGGGTCTAGTGAGCTGAGGGAGGAGGCGATGGACAGGAAGCAGATTTTGGGAGAGATGGATGAGGGAAGTGATTGGGGTGAGGAGCCGAAGGTGTGGAGATGGGGGAGGGTTTGGGTGTATATATATTGTACTGTATAGTGTAAATGACTATTCGAAGGAAGGTCGATTCAGTGGATAAAATGAAAAAAGCAATTATGGCTACATTTAATTTCAATCGACATGGAACCGCAGCTTCACTACCGCCCTCCGGGCGTGGACTCGTGGTGGACATAGAGGAAGCCGCGGCTGCAGAGTCTTATACTCATCCTCCTCCATTACATACTGCCGTGGCGAAGCCCATACATATTATTATTAAAGAGATGTTTGGGTGGCTACACCCAGAACACAAATGAATCCTTCAATGCTACGCTGTGGCGTTTAGCCCCTAAGCATCTAAACTCTGGCTCGAAAATTTAACGATGGCTATGCATTCATTTTACAAGTTATGATTGATGTGCAACTGCAAATCGGTCCGCATTGCAAACAATTCGCTAACGCGTACGACAAACACCGCGTGGACCGCCGCACCCAAAGTACATTGTGTTAATTAATTACCCGACGTCATCGTTGCAAGTATGCAACCAATATCACAGTATTGGTATTGCAAATCGCGTATACTGTGATATTGGTTGCATACTTGCAATGATGACGTCGGGTATGATAATTAATTAACACACTCTACGTTAAAAAGAGGCAAGGACAGCTGTTTATAATTAAAAAATAAAATACCCATGAATTTTTAATTTTTGATTTATCTTTTTTCAAATTTAGGTTCATGCAAAGCATATGAACGCATTTTAACAAAAAAACTTAATTTTTTTATTTCAGTTAATTAGAGCGACCTGAGCGTTGCACAGCGCAAATCCGAGGAGCCGACATTAAGTATAGTCTCCGATTTTTCTGGTGGTTTTTATGACCCTCAGAAACAGTAGCGGCAGTAATTATCACCCCGAAAAAGTACCTGATCGTGATTTATGATAGGCCCTCCTAGCGAACTAGGTCCAGGAACTCACTTTTAAAAATATAAATTTGAAATACATTGAAAAGAATAAAATTATGTAAGCCTTAAAAAAAGAAATAACACTTAAATAGAATTTAGAGTACTAATTATTGTTTACATTCAAAAAATACAAATTTTAAATAAATTGTTGTATTTTCACACAAAGGAATGGTATTTATGTTTTTAAATATTATGCTTTTGCAATTTCCGTTAATGCGGACCTGAACAACTCACGCCGAAGTTTGGGGTTCGTCAACTACCTGTTTACAACCCCGTCTTTGTTCGTTATATGACTGTAATTAAGTCATAAAAACCACCAGAAAAATCGGAGACTATAACTGCTGCGCCGCCACTCTGACATTCTTCAGCATCAAAAACATTCTATAATAAACTTTAAAATCATAGATATTATGATGTACATTGTTCAGATTTAGGGCCGGTTGTACAATATGCCAATAAATCTACCTGATAACTATCCGGCCGATAACCTTATCGGGAGGATAAAGATACTGTTTTTATCGGTAGGACTGTTATCGGCGAAATAAGAATTGGTTGGTAGTACTTTTTCCCCATATCTAATCATTTCTGCCATAGGTTGGTAATCTTTCTTTAAAATTTTAACTATGATTTTGACAATAATAACATTTTTTCACTGACACTACGTACATACATATAGGATGTTATAGGTTAACCTATGCAGTAACCATACAAAGTGTTTATATAAAATCCTTGGTAAACATATATATCTGGCTGATAATTGTTTTATCGGCACCGCTGAGTACTCGATAAGTTATCCTGCCGATTTTTGTTGAGGTTCACCAACAAAAATATCCGTACATTGTAATACAGCACAAACTAATTTATCGGCCAGATAACGCTGTCGGGAAGTTTATCGGTATATTGTACATTACTTCATCTTTCCATCGGTTTACTAAAAATTAATGATTATATTTTTAGCCTGAACGAATAGATTTACATAACCCGGATTACGATATACGAGCTGATGTTTGGTCTTTGGGGATAACGTTGATTGAATTAGCAACGGGAGTGCTGCCTTATCAAGACTGTAAAAACGATTTTGAGGTACTCAGTAGAGTGATAGTGAACGATCCCCCCTCGTTACCCACCGACAAATATTTTAGTCCGATGTTTCGCGATTTCGTTTCATCGTGTTTAATAAAAGACAAAGAAAATAGGCCAAAGTACGCTCAATTAAAAGCCCATTCGTTTATAAAAAAATATGAGCGTGATCAATCCACGAATAATTGGTTTAAAGATGCGATTAAGCAAGCGGAAACGATTGCGACCGCTAATAAATCAACTCCGAGGCATACCCCTGAGTTATCGAGTCAAAAAAGGGGGGTACAAGTTTTGGGGAATAAACCTTACCAACAACTTTCACCACCTCCGCTAAATCAATCGATAGCAAACGGAGGTGGTAGTTTACCTCCGGATGGAAGAGCCGGACATATTTCTCGTTTATCAACATTCCAAAGCCAAAGTTCTTGTTCTCCGAATGGGCATAGAAGTTTTTCGCCGATGTCTTACACTAAATCGCATCAAGAATCGCGATTTTTACCAAGTCCCGGAACTAGTCCTATTTTACAAAGAAAACCTGACGGTGGGAGATTAGCTTCTTCGCCGTTTTTCCAAAGGAAAAACGTAGAAAGGAGCCCGATTGGGTCACCGCTTCCACTTCGATCACAAAGTAGTGGCGATGATTATCATCAACACGCCGGAGGGGTAGTTTATAGTGAAAATAATAGCCCCATTGTGTTACAAAGGTTTTATCACCAACAAAAGCAGCAACAACAAGCTAAAGAAGAAGAAAACGGCGGTGGTGGTAAAAAACGATTCGGATCTTACATGAAATTACATTTAAGTAACGATCGTACTGGAAGAAATTCACGGCATCAAAGCCCCGAACCACCCCCTAGATTAAATAGAACGATTAGTGGTGATCAAAGTCCTTTGGCATTAAGGAGAAATTATTCTGAAACTTCAGCATCTCCTAATTTATCAAGACGGTAAAATTATTAACTAATTTATGTAAAAGAAATGAAATAATTCTTAATTGTAGATATATCTCGCCGACACCGCCTGTACCACCTCCGAGACGTTTATCAGAAAGCACATCGGTACCAGGATCCCCACAACATCTTAGGGCGAGAATACATTACACACCGGAGCCCCAAAGGCGTCCATATCCCCATGACGTCTCATAACGTTTTGAGATGCGGTCAAAGAGTCAAAACGGCAAGCTAATCGGATCGAACCGACTTAAAAAAAAATAAATAATTAACTAAATAAAAATAAGTATAAAATGGCTGTTGCGCTTTTAAACTATTTAATAAGTTTCTACTTTTTTCTTTTTTATAATAATTCGATATAAATGAAAGAAAAAAAATTCGGTTTGCTTGCTGCAATTTGTGTTCGATATAAAAAAGAAGAAAAAAAGAGATCGGTTCGTCAAAAACTACCCTAACTAGTCCTTGTTTCCGTCGAAACTTTTTTTTTTGTTTTTTAATTATTTTTATGGTTTATAAATATTTTTTTAATTAAAAAGTGAGTACGTAAAACTTATTTTTAACAATTTTAAAAAGCACAATTAAATTTATTGGGAAATTAACAAAACTATTAGAATTTTTTTTAATAGAATCAAAGACAATGCCATACTCTTGTAATTTAAATGAATTAATTTAAATTAATTTGATTAATTAAGCGAAACCGTCGTAAAAAAATTTATTATTGTATAGCGCCGTTTGTATTTAAGCCCGATTGTAAATATACCCGAAAATTGAAAAATAAATTCTATCAAAAACTCGAAAAAGCAGAGGAACAATACACACAAAAACAACTTTTCTTTATTTTATTGGTTTTTTATTCATTTAACTTGATTGTAAATCTTAAAATTAATTAATACGCAGCAACCATGTTATTGTTGATGGTGAATTTATTTTTAACAACGAATGGAGTGCAGAATTTCGATCGTTGGATCGCATCAAACATGGATTCGTTGTTGGCGATGTATTGGGATTTTTCTTCGTTTCCAGAAAAGGAGTAATTGATGTAATCGTTAATTTCAATGCGTTTTCCTTGGTTGACATATTTCTCGTAGTTGTCTTCAAACACTTTACCTTGGCAGATGTCAAGAGTTTTTCCTTGTTCGACGTATTTGGCTTGCCAAATTGATTTTGCTTGCGAAATGGTTTTGGCTTGTTCGATGTATTTAGCCTGTGACACGTATTTTGCTTGGGAAATAGTCTTCGCTTGTTCGATGTATTTAGCCTGGGCAATGGTCTTGGCTTGATTAATGGTTTTAGCTTGCTCAATGTATTTGGCTTGAGCGATTGTTTTGGCCTGGTCGATGGTCTTGGCTTGCTCGATATATTTGGCCTGGGAAATGGTCTTGGCTTGCTCAATGTATTTTGCTTGAGCAATGGTCTTTGCTTGTTCGATGTATTTGGCCTGGGCGATGGTTTTAGCTTGATCAATGGTTTTAGCTTGTTCAATATATTTAGCTTGAGCAATGGTCTTAGCTTGTTCGATATATTTAGCTTGAGCAATGGTCTTGGCTTGATCAATAGTTTTAGCTTGCTCAATGTATTTCGCTTGGGCAATGGTTTTAGCTTGATCTATGGTCTTAGCTTGTTCGATGTATTTGGCCTGGGCAATGGTTTTAGCTTGATCAATGGTTTTGGCTTGTTCGATATATTTAGCTTGAGCAATGGTCTTGGCTTGATCTACGGTCTTCGCTTGCTCAATGTATTTAGCTTGAGTAATGGTCTTTGCTTGATCTATGGTCTTAGCTTGCTCGATATATTTAGCTTGAGCAATGGTCTTGGCTTGATCAATAGTTTTGGCTTGCTCAATGTATTTAGCTTGAGCAATGGTCTTAGCTTGTTCGATATATTTAGCTTGAGCAATGGTCTTGGCTTGATCAATAGTTTTGGCTTGCTCGATGTATTTGGCTTGGGCAATGGTCTTGGCTTGTTCAATAGTCTTAGCTTGTTCGATGTATTTAGCTTGGGCAATGGTTTTAGCTTGATCAATGGTCTTAGCTTGTTCGATATATTTAGCTTGAGCAATGGTCTTGGCTTGGTCTACGGTCTTAGCTTGCTCAATGTATTTTGCTTGAGCAATGGTCTTGGCTTGATCAATGGTTTTGGCTTGCTCAATGTATTTCGCTTGGGCAATGGTTTTGGCTTGCTCAATGTATTTCGCTTGGGCAATAGTTTTAGCTTGATCTATGGTCTTAGCTTGTTCGATGTATTTGGCCTGGGCAATGGTTTTAGCTTGTTCAATGGTTTTGGCTTGTTCAATGGTTTTGGCTTGTTCAATGGTTTTGGCTTGTTCAATGTATTTAGCTTGAGCAATAGTCTTAGCTTGTTCGATATATTTAGCTTGAGCAATGGTCTTAGCTTGTTCGATATATTTAGCTTGAGCAATGGTCTTTGCTTGGTCTACGGTCTTCGCTTGTTCAATGTACTTGGCTTGAGCGATGGTCTTGGCTTGATCAATGGTCTTAGCTTGTTCGATGTATTTGGCCTGGGCAATGGTCTTAGCTTGTTCAATGGTTTTAGCTTGTTCGATGTATTTGGCCTGGGCAATGGTCTTAGCTTGATCAATGGTTTTGGCTTGTTCAACGTATTTAGCTTGGGCAACGGTCTTGGCTTGCTCGATATATTTAGCTTGGGCAATGGTCTTGGCTTGGTCTACGGTCTTGGCTTGCTCAATGTATTTAGCTTGGGCAATGGTCTTGGCTTGATCAATGGTTTTGGCTTGCTCGATATATTTAGCTTGGGCAATGGTCTTGGCTTGTTCTACCGTCTTGGCTTGCTCAACGTATTTGGCTTGGGCAATGGTTTTCGCTTGGTCTACGGTCTTTGCTTGCTCAATGTATTTAGCTTGGGCAATGGTCTTGGCTTGATCAATGGTTTTGGCTTGCTCGATATATTTAGCTTGGGCAATGGTCTTGGCTTGCTCTACGGTCTTGGCTTGCTCGACGTATTTAGCTTGGGCAATGGTCTTGGCTTGATCTACGGTCTTGGCTTGCTCAACGTATTTGGCTTGGGCAATGGTATTCGCTTGGTCTACGGTCTTTGCTTGCTCAATGTATTTAGCTTGGGCAATGGTCTTTGCTTGATCAATGGTTTTGGCTTGCTCTATGTATTTGGCTTGGGCAATGGTTTTCGCTTGGTCTACGGTCTTCGCTTGCTCAATGTATTTGGCTTGGGCAATGGTTTTCGCTTGGTCTACAGTTTTCGCTTGCTCAATGTATTTGGCTTGGGGGGCAATGGTCTTGGCTTGATCAATGGTTTTGGCTTGCTCAATGTATTTGGCTTGCGAAACAGTCTTGGCTTGGTCTACGGTTTTAGCTTGCTCAATATATTTAGCTTGGGCAATGGTCTTAGCTTGATCAATGGTTTTGGCTTGTTCGACATATTTAGCTTGAGCAATTGTCTTGGCTTGGTCAATGGTCTTAGCTTGAACAATGCATTTAGCTTGAGTAACAGTTTTAGCTTGGTCAACAGTCTTAGCTTGTTCTACATATTTAGCTTGGCAAACAGTCTTTCCTTGATCAACGGTTTTAGCTTGCTCAATATATTTGGCTTGTTCGATAGTCTTAGCTTGATCAATAGTTTTAGCTTGGTCTACATATTTAGCTTGTTCAACAGTTTTGCCTTGCTCAATAGATTTTCCTTGTTCAATAAATTTAGCTTGTTCAATACTTTTTCCTTGATCAATACTCTTACCTTGTTCAACATCTTCATCATTTTTCTCCTAAAGCATTAAAACAAAGACTTATTTGAAATCAAGAATTAAAGTATCTTAAACTTACTTCTTGTGCTTTCAAGTCCATGATCCATGCAGCGAATTTGAAGACATTTTCCTTTTCGTTTTCGGAAAAATCCAAAAAGTCGTAATCTTGCTATAAAATTAATTTAAGTAGTGATAAAATAATCTTAGATCAGGCGTAATTCGAATACATACATGGAACAAAGTAATCTGCATTTTGATTCAAAATCGAACGGAAATCACTTGACACCACAAAATAGAGAAAGTAATAAGTCCTGTAAAGTTTTCTTCGATATTTATATGTTGAGGACTTCCTTGTTTCGTTAGAATTCTTCAACTTCATTGGTCGCGGGCTGATATCAGTTCCACATCATTCCAAAAACCAGCGTCATCACTCCAGATGTTTGTATTCTCCCAGACGGTTTAAGCCATCGTACGATTTATGTAAATAACGTTTTTCTGGATGATAACGATTATTATGTATTACTGTGTAAGGTCAATCGCCTAAAAGTTAATAATAAAACTTCTAAATTATGCTAATATTGATTGAAAATGAACATTGACTCCATGGCGTTGTATATCAAATTTAAGGAATACGAATTAAATTGTGGTCTCATAGTTTAACATTTTATCGTAATTACGTAGAAAATCAGGCCATTTCGAACAGGATATTCGATTATCAACTTAAATTTGTTTATTTACTTTTTTAAAGCAAAGAAGATTCATATTAATTAAAATTTTGACGTATTTTTAAATTATTTTGGTGATTTTTTAGGGAATTTATTTTTTATTAAAAAAATAATTTTATATTAATATAAAATATAAATAAACTCTTAATTTAAACTACTAAATAAATACTTTAACTTAAATTAAAATTTAATAATAATTTAATTGCAAATTAACTCATTTAACATTAATTTTCATATTAAATTTTGACGTTTAAAAGATAGGTTATGTCATTAATATAACCTAAAAATATTTTCTATAAGAATGTTAATATCTTGGAAGAAATTCGAAATTTTAACAAAACCCTATTCAAGATCGATTGGTTATTGGGCGTTTAGAACGTGGTACGCTAAATTATGGAAACGAAAACCGGGAAATCCACCTTATAACCATGTTGTGCAAATTGGAGATCCTCGATTAAGAGTTAAATGTAGTCCGATTCCTGTTGAAGATATTAAATCGAACGAAATACAATATTTAATAAAACATCTTAAACACGTTTTAAAGCGGTATGATTGCGTTGGCTTATCCGCACCTCAAATTGGTGTTGATTTACAAGTTTTTGTTATGGAGTTATCCAAAAAACAATTAAAAGATTTTTCAGAAAGTGAAATAAAATCTAAGGACGTTAAAGTTTTTCCATTAACGGTGAGAAATTGTTGATAATTTACTAAGTTTTTAATTTAGATTTTTAGGTTGTTATTAATCCAAGTGTAAAAATAGTTGATTTTAATAAAATTGTGTTTTCGGAGAGTTGTGAGAGTGTTAAAGGATTTTGCGGTGATGTTCCTAGGTATAAATCAATCGAATTAACTGGTAAATATAAATATTTCGCATTTATCAGTTAATTATATTTATTTTTGTTGTTTAGGGTATAATGAGAACGGGGAAAACCTTAAAATGGAAGCAAACGGTTGGCTCGCAAGGATTATCCAGCACGAAACTGATCATTTAAATGGAAAAATTTACACTGATATAATGAGTAAGGATACTTTAGCGTGTAGTTGTTGGGAGGCTGTTAATGAAAATCGTGGAAAAGTTGTGTTGCCTTATAGTCCCGATTAATTGTTTTTAACCTTGTAAATAAATAACTTGAAACAATTTTTTTTGTTTTGGTTTTTTAACGAAGCCGGATCTATCGCGTTGAAATAAAATGAACTTTGGTTTAATCAAACCACTTACTTGCTTGTGATAAAGGAAGTAATGATTAAAAAAAAGTTTGATAACGGGAAAAAAGCCGAAAACGGCAAATTTGTTTATTTATTAGAGGTCAACTATTTTAGTTATCAAAAGTGATGTTGATGGGTGAAGTATTAAAAGGAAATTTTATTTACAAAAAGTAATTAATTAATTCTATTAATAAAATAGAATACATATAGTTCGTTTTTTTTCTATAATACTTGTCAATGTAAATTTTTTAGGGTTTCTGTTGGTATTATCTAGTACCCTTATAAAATTTATGTTGTTTTCCTGATTTTTAGTAAAATTATTAGTAACTAAATAATTGAGGTTAAAATACTAACACATTTTTAGATAAACACGATTTTAACGAAGTACATATTTATTGTAAAAACGTGCTACAAAGTAATTAAATAGAACAAAACACCTTTTCTAGGTAAATAAATGACAAATAAACACCCCACAACATTTTTTATGCACCTTTTCTTTTTGAATAACGAAAGCTCAAACGTCAGTGTGACATATCTATTACAAAACATGATAAAACAAAACTCCCTGTTAATTTTGCCAACTTTACAACAATTTGATAGGTATTATAGAAAAGAAATGAACTATATTTAAGAATTGAAAATGAATCTGTTATTTTTGACAGATTTATAACCTCAATTTCAAAAACTTTAAAATATTATTCTTAACCTAACTAATACCTAGAACTAGAATCATTTGGGTTTAACCGCCCGTCTCTAAAGATGGCTAAACCCGAATGATTATAGTTCTTGGTCTAGCTTTGCATAACAATTAAAAATAGAACTAACACTAGAGTTAGAAACACTCGGGTATAACCGACTTAAGAGACACATGGCTAAACCCAAATGTTTCTATAGTTTGTTTTTTTACTATAATACTTGTCAATGTAAATTTTTTAGGGTTTCTGTTGGTATTATCTAGGACCCTCATAAAATTTATGTTGTTTTCTTGATTTTTAGTAACATTTTCAGCAACTAAATAGTTGATGTTAAAATACTAATAAATTTTTAAATAAATACGATTTTAATAAAGTACAGGGTGGTTCAAATTCGATGTCCGAATAGGCTAACTCGAAAACTATAAGAGTTAGAAGAAAAGTAGCTTACATGTCATGATCTCGTTNTAGAACAAACCCTTTTCATTGGTGTATACTTTTCAATTATTTCATTAAGTATGCTGTAGAATGCATCTACAGAGTCATTCGCGTTGTGAAACGAACTTAAGAACGAAAAGTCAATACTATTTAAGTCTCGATAAATACCCAAAAAATCAGCTTTCCGAAAATCACGTATATATTTAGGAGTTAATACTATTTTATCTATATTACAGGTTATTTGAATTTCCAATGAGGGATAATGACTATCCTCAACCGTGAGTGGATGGTTACATTTATGGACACTGAGGTTCATATCGAAAATTATCAAATCCAGTGTTCTACCATTTCCATTAGGAATATCATTCAACGACTTGCAATTACAAAAGCTAATGAAGTCCCCAAAGTTATTATACTTAGTATTATTAATAGAATAAAAGTCACACCCAATACCTGTAACATGTATAGTTTGTTTTTTTTTCTATAATACTTGTCAATGTCAATTTTTTAGGGTTTTTGTTGGTATTATCTAGGACCCTTATAAAATTTATGTTGTTTTGTTGATTTTTAGTAACATTTTCAGTAACTAAATAGTTGATGTTAAAATACTAATAAATTTTTAAATAAATACGATTTTAATAAAGTACATATTTGTTGTAAAAACGTGCTACAAAGTAATTAAATAGAACAAAACACCTTTTCTAGGTATAATAAATGGCAAATAAACGATTTGCCAAATAAAGAATTTTTGAATAACGAAAGTTCAAACGTCAGTGTGACATATTTATTTCAAAACATGACTCCCTGTTAATTTTGCCAACTTTACAACAATTTGGCAGGTATTATAGAAAAAAAATGAACTATATACAAAACCTATTTCCATCAATCAGAAGGACAACGTTCGAAAGTAACGGCATTGGAGGAGAGAGAAGGTTCTAGAGCGGAAAAGTCGGATTTTGTAATTGATTTTTATTCAAAAATATTATTCTATGCCTCGGTGTAATAAAGACACAGATATATTACAATGGTGGAAAACTCATGCTTCTGAATTTCCTATTGTAAGTTTAATGGCACGAGATCTCTTAGTCTTAAACATACCGGCTACTTCAGTCTCGGCGGAAAGATTATTCTCACGTACTGTGTTAACTATAAGAAAACATCGAAAATGCCTTAATAATAGATCTGCACGATGTTTGTTGTGCCTAAACGATTGGGTAAAAAACAAAATCATTTGCGGTCGCCAGAGCTGAGGACACAGCTCTGGCGACCTCGGTACAACTTGTTACTGTTAAGGAATTAAGTTATGTTTACAGAAAACGAAAAAAAAAAAAACAACGTCCCACAATTAATGATGTACTGGGTAATCTTCTGCGTATTTATGGTGGCTACCGTTGGAAAAGCAATAGAACCCCAATACAACGTAGAGTCATTAAACCATATTCCAGGCCTCATGTACAAAAAATTAGGTAGGATCAACGTTGTTCAGATGTATTGGAATGTAGTAACTCATATAGATTTTCAAAATTATGACCGAAATTTTGCATTAATTCAAGTTAACTTAAACGCTATTATGAAGGTCTGTTCACAAAACCACTCGGAAATACAAAATGTTTGCGCCAGTCATGTTAGCGCGCTAAATCGCACGGTACACAAGATTGAATGGGAAAAATCCCTGATTCCCAATTTGGTAGGGCATGCACTGATGCTCAACTCAGAGTAGAAATGACGACAGAGTTTGCTATACAAAATCAGGATGTAATCCAAAAAATTAGGGATGAGGCACGTGAGAACCTAAAGTTAAAACAAGAAAAAGACAAAGAGCGCTACGATGAACGGCATAGAGAAGTTAACTTTGACATAGGACAAAAGGTTAGGCTAAGAACACCCTTGAGACAAGTAGGAAAATCCGATAAGCTTCAACCTAAATATTTCGGACCCTACACAATTGTTGAAAGACGTAATAGTTTAAACTATGTCGTAGAATCTGGTTCTGGAGCTAAACGTAAAAGAGACGTAGTTCACGTATCGCGCCTCGCTCCCTATTACGACCAATGGGAACCATAAATGAAAAGAGTTTGGATATCTTATATCTAAAGTATTCTGTAGGGCTTCTCAAGCATATATAAAACAGGGTTATTTTGTTTGTTGTTACTATTAGCTCAGCGAT